ATCTCCCACCCAATTTATAGAGAGAATGTTTATAAAGGAGGAGGAAAGAGGGAGTATTGCAGTTTTAGAGAGAGAGTATTTATAAAACAAAGGAGAAAGGGGGAGTCTTGCAGTTTTAGACGCAGTCTTTATAAAGAAAGAGGAAAGGGGGAGTATTCAAAAGAGAGAAAGGGCAGGATTTATTTACTTTTGATACAAAGAGGTCAAAGTGACATGTAGCTCTATAAAGATAGAAAAAGTATGGATTTATTTACTTTTGATACAAAGAGGTCAAAGTGACATGTAGCTCTATAAAGATAGAAAAAGTATGGATTTATTTACTTTTGATACAAAGAGGTCAAAGTGACATGTAGATATGAGTTGGGTAATGAGGTAGGCCCAACGGGCCTCAAGCACTTGTACAATGCTCAAGGTTCTAGGCTAAGTAAGTAGCAGGCGCCACCTTATGTTATGGGCCGGACCCAATAGTTGTCATTTTCTTGCCACCGTGTGAATTGTACACGAAGAAGATTGAACTGAGCCAAAACCGAGCACTAAACACTTTCCAACTCCTTCCAGTGAATTGGTATGGCTATCGAAATCACGAGTATCCAAATGTAGGTTCAAGATCCAAGTGCTAGTGTTAACGTTTGGATTGTCACAAACTTTGAAAATTTTTCTTTTAGATTTTGAGCCTAACCTGAGGTAATTGTGAACGCACACAAAATGTAAATGGTCATGTTGTATACTTCTTTTAAAAATAATTCCAAAAAATTAACAATATCATCGTCAAATAAAAGAGGGGATAAAAATCTCCCAATTTTCTGTGTTTATTTTTCGTAAATTATAGCCTCAACTGCTCAAGAATCACATGAGTTAGAGCAAGTGAACTCGAGGCTTGAATCTATTTTTTAAATCAATAGTTGTGACTTGTGACATTTGAAGTTCGGCCCGAAGTTCCCAAACAAGCTGACCTAGTTCATTTTATTTTTTATTTTTCCTTTCTACTTTGCAACCACATGGGTTACACCAACCAAACGAATTCGGGACTAAGACGATACACCCAATATTTTATACTTGGCAACTCATATTTATGTCAACAACCCACTACACATCAAACCCTAAGTGCCCTTAATGGGCCCTGCCACAATCATATTTTATTAAAGGAAAAATTTTTATAAGTACGAGGCTCTAAACAACTAAATTAGGACGTACCTCAAAATTTTCAGGTTGTTTTGAAGCTCAAAAATCCTCAAATTGATCATCTAGACCTCAAGATGTATAGAGATTTCCAGTTAGAGCCTACTTTCAAATAGTATCGAGAAATGTGGTTTTAACATTGGAAATCTTTGTGACAGCCTTAAGATATATTTTTATATATATTTATAAAGTTTAAAGCTTCAAAAATAGTGTAGATTGACATATCTTTGAAAACTTGAAAATCTAAAAATTTGACGGTCCAAAAATTGTATTACAAAATCAACTAATTCCAAAACTTGAAATCCATTTTTTTTTTATGTCCATGCATCTTGATGTCGAGATGGTCAATTTGAAGATATTTGAGCATCAAAACTAACTCTTCTAATGAAATTTTTGGTATAGGCTCAAATTTGATTGTTTAGAGCCTCAGCTCTATGTAAACTTTTCCCTTTTAAAAAAGACACCCAACAAATACGAGCCCGGTACGTAAATGCGCCAAAATGGTACAAGTTAAACTGGTCCAATACAAAATATGTGTGGCCTATGTAGAAGTTGCAGATGTCCTGCACGTTCTGTGTTGAAACGGCTTAAACATAAAATGGGAAATGTAGCTTAAAAAGGGGGTGTCTAAATTTATTTTGTTTTTTTTTTAAAAAAAAGCAAATTTTTGCACCTAGGGGTACTTGCAAAATAAAAAAATAAAAATTTGAGATTCCTAGTATGATATAAAAAGTGTTGGGGAAAGTATACCTAGAAAGTACAAATTAGGGGTATTTATAATTGGGAAAAGATGGGATAAGCCCGTTAGCTCATTTGAGCATGTGAGTCCAACGGTCCAGATTGAATCTAGACCGATCTGACGATCATAGATGTCCAGTAGTGCTTAAATTTTATTTCTTTTTCTATATATCCAAATCACTTGAAATTTTAAGTGTGTGTTCTTCTCATCAAGACGTACCTAATAAAAATATAAAAAAAATTATTCACGAAGAACAAAATGATCAAAATACCCCCCAAAGCTTTTCAGGGGTATTTTGATCAATTTATTTCATGTAAAATATTTTTTTGATATTTTTCGCAGATTCACTTATTTTGTATGAAGACACGCCTAAAATTATAAGTGATTTGGATTTGTAAAAAAAATTAAAATTCAAACACAACCAAACATCCGTGATCATCAAATCGACCCAGAATCAATCTGAAACATTGGGCTCATATGTTCATACGAACTCGTGGGCTAAACCTATCTTTTCCCTTTATAAATTCCCTTTATTTTACTTCTTTGAGGATAATCAGAATTTTACAATTTTTGGAGAATTGCATAAACATAAATTTAAGGCAAAAAAACATCTAAATCCTTTGAACACTAAATCCATCTTAAAGATGAGACTTTTCCGACTTTTCCAACTTTTCCAAGGATCATGTAAGAATGCGACCTTAAGTAATAGACTTCTCCCTTCCCCAAGAGTAGTCAAGAAAGTAACAAGAGAAACAGTTAAAAAACATCAACTCACATTTCTGAAAAATGGACAGAAAGTGACGAGATGATTTTTGAGAAAAAAAAGGGCACATAGTTCTCTCGCAATTAAATTTACACTAACATGCCTAATAGTCACTGATAATAAAGGTCAGGACCTTAAAGTTTCCTTAATCCATCCCAACCTCGGGTCAAAGAGGTGGGTGAGGACCTTAAAGTTTTCTTAATCCATCCCAACCTCGGGTAAAAGAGGTGAATTGCATTTAATATTGTCATATCCTACCATGAATCTTAAATCTATGTTATCTGAAGAATTGAATTCGTATAGCAAACCTCAATTAGTTATGATAAAGCTTTGATGATGATGATAATTCATCGTAGTCACTAATATTTCAAAAGTTCCTCCAAAAGTTCAGATATTACATTTAAATTGCTTCTTTCCATTTTTCTCCAAATTTCCTCTACAAATTTTCACGGTTTGAACCACCTCAAAAAAAAATCACTAAGATGTTAAATCAACCAATTCACCTTGAAAGTAAGTTATATGAAATGTAGTAAGCAAGCCCCTATACTAAGTTTATAATATTGAACAAGCAGTTGTTTTCTACAACTTGATCCATAACACAAGGACAGATTACAAAACAAACCCATCATACCCATATATTTAACAAGAGATTTTAATAATATACAGAATATTTATGCTTGGAAACAAAAAACAAAAAAAAATAAACAAGGGCAATCACACTATTTAGCTCATGCTAATTGAGCCACATAATGTACGTATCCTACTTGTTCCAAGTCCCAAAACCAGAAGATATTTTAATAAAAATCATGTTCTAAGGTCGAATCTAAAATAAGCAATAGTGTTCATATCATTCACAGGGGGCATGTAACAGGGATACATTTTCAGAACAATTCATGTTCAAGTTTCTAAATACACAGCAAGAACTTTTCTGGTCTTTTTTAACAAAAAGAAAAGTGTTTGGTGAGTCAGTTGACACACCATTCTTATGCAGTCTCCCTACAATATACATATATTGCACTTTCAATCCAACATTTAGAGTTCAATAATATCAACCATGACAATGATTTAAATTTGGAAATTTTCTTTTTCAAAAAATATAAATATTAATTTTTGAGATGCTTTCTTCACTGTCCATTTTAACTAAATAACTTCTAGTTAAGTAAAATTTTTAGCATCCATTTTAGAAAGATAAGGGACCGCACAGGAATAGGGGAGTTGGCTGACTCACTAAACCATGTCTTTTATAAATAAAATAGTCAAAGTATATTATTATTCCACAATATATGATCCAGAGGTATAAAGCATCCTTCTTAAAGATTCGATCTAAAAACAAGTGCAACCATCTGTCCAAGTATTTTCTTAATATAGTTATTATTTCTAGTTTTGAAAAAAACATTATATTCATCATCTCCATGTTAAAGATTACATATTCTCTATAAAGTATGATCAAAATATATTTAAAAAAGATATTTATTGCCAAGCCCGCATGTCTACAATATGGGCTGGCCCTATAGAAACCGTGTCTTTGTAATGATGAAGTAGCAACGTCGTTAACTGGTTAATTTGACCCAATATTAGCAAAATCAGACCAGCAACCAAAAGAAGCAAAACCAGTTTGGGGCCCAACATAGATTCCAAACTGCATTATTCAAATAGAAGGCATCCCAACCAAGAATTTTAAGGATGAACCACAGAGATGACATGTATCGCACTATTGATATACTGCACAAACATTCATCTTCATCATGCACTAGATATTCTATTTTAAAAAAATTTGCCGTTTGAGAAGGCCACATTACCATCTCCATACATTGTTAGCATGAGACATCAGGATTCGATCAAGTCTGACCTGGTCTAATAAGGTGAGGACCCCAAATTTTTCCTCAACCCGTCCAAGCCCCCATTGTTAGCATGAGACATCAAGACTCGAGCAAGTCTAACCTAGTCTAATAAGGTGAGGACTTCAAATTTTTCCTCAACCCGTCCAAACCCCCAATAAGTAAAAGAGGTGGGTCACATTAGGTACGCAGCCAACGTAGCGATTTATTACATCATATCATGAATTATGTTATAGGCTTAAAAAAAAAAAAGTATAAAAGAACATGATTCATTCGCCGACCCAAAATCATTGAGAGAAGGCTTGAATGATTAGAATGCTGATGACTTACTGCAATTCTGACCGCATCAAGAGGCTTGGCAATCATGGGCCAGAAAACCCAAAATTACCGTATCTCCCAGCTCATCCATTTCCTTAAATTTTTCTAGCTAAATATTCCTAATTTATCTAGGAACAATATCTCCGTCAAGTCAGAACCGAACTTGAGAAAAAGCCTAGTTTACTTTTTGATTGGTTTCCATAACACATATGTCTATTTAGAGGTCAATATGGAAAATAAATACTAAACTCCGTTTAAACGATCAACAAAAACAAAATTCAGCATAAATATTTTAAGATCATGAATGATAACCAACACAGGACATAATAAGCAAAATTTTACTCCATATTACAAATATGGAACCAAAATGGAAACTGTCCTCAAGTGACTTCATTAGAAAGAGAAAGATGGCACCGATCCTCAAAGGTCTTGAACGCTCAAACCTATCAAAAGAAACAATATCCCCCCATTAATCTCCAATAAATCCAGTATTTGAGTTCCAAGCACAAAATGGTTATATTCTACAGTTAAGATTTACTACCAGGGTTTATAAAACCAAGCAATCCAATCGACTATCAAGTCCCTTCCCCCTTATATATATATATAAAATCTTCTTAACACCTATAAGAAAAAATGAATAGTAATTTCACCTACCCTCATCACCATCCAAGTTTTATCGCGCAATCACGATTGTCCGATTGTTTTATTTTTCATTTTTTTTTTTCTATAAATTGAAATGACTTAAAATTTGAAGGATATATACAGCTTACTAAAGCACATCTAATAAAAATATAAAAAAAATTATCCGCAAAAAACACATTGACCAAAATACCCCCAAAAAGTTTCAAAAGCATATTTTGATCAATATTTTTTATGTAAAATATTTTTTTTTATATTTTTCGAAGATTCTTTTATTTTCTATGAATAGGGGCTTCAAATTTCAGATCATTCCGATTTATAGATAAAAAACGAAAAATGAAACACGACCAAATAATCGTGACCGCACGATGAAATTTGGACAATGATAGAGAAAGACAAAATCACTTTTCATTTTCGCCTATAGATATTGCGTATTGTTTTCCGTGTATATATATATATACACACAATTTTACCAAATTTCAACCAGTTCAACCCAATGTTTTAAAAAACGGCGAATCGAACAGGACTCTCTCGGTTCGACTCGAAAACACGCGTGTCCTTGCCGGTTCCAACCAAAAACCGACAACCGCCCGGTTCTAGAGTGGAACCGTCGGTTCCCATCCGATTCACACACGTAACGCATGACACGCACATGCAAGCCCCACGCACACATGTGTCCAAGCGCACGTGCCCCATGCACACTCACAGGTGTGTCTAAGCGCACGTGCCCCACGCACACTCACACGTGTGTCCAAGCGCACGTGCCCCTCGCACTCACGTGTGTCCAAGCACACGTGCGACTGTGCCCCCTGCACACTCACGCGTGCACACGTGTGTCCAAGTGCACATGCGAGCGTGCCCCACGCACACTCACGCATGCACACGTGTATCCAAACGCACGTGTGTTTGCTCTAATATTTTTACACACATTTTATAGTTTATACTGCATAAGTATTTATATACCAAAGTTGAATACCCATCTTTCCATTTGAGATAATTCCCAAACATCATTAAATGAAAACGAAATGTAAATATAGTCTATTAATCAGCAATTTATAATCACATGTAGTTAGATGGCTTGATGGTTATGACTTTGATTTTTTTACTTGAGGTCCTAAAGTCGAATCCCCTTAGGCATGTGTTGCATTCGAATCCCCTTGGGCATGTGTTGCATTTTTGTTGTGAATATAGTAGTTGGTATAAATATAAATATTTTTGTTGTATTTATATTTATATTTATACCAACCACTAT